GACATATTACATTTAACCGCTATACAATGTAATTATCTTTTATGTGTATAAATTTCATTTTATAGAAGTTTCCAAAAGGAAATCAACACATTACTATTATTATTAGTAGCAGTATTGCTACGGTAATTTCCTGTTATATTTAAAGTTGATATAAAAAGGGTAATGTACAATTAACATTGAAATATGAATATGAATAAAATAAAAAAAGCTTTATATTTGAAACGAACATTTGATAGAATAGACAATAAAGTCTATTTTGATGGAGTTTTGTTCTCTAAGCTGGATAGTTTGGTCATGGAGCTTTCATAGTTCTTCTGAACGACATTATCAGCATAAACTTCAGATCTTCACGATTGATTGATCACTGGTTGGTGATCAATGTCATGTTTGTCTAGTCCTTATTAGTGCAGATCGAATGTTATCGATCATGTTGCGATGTGGCCACCAGTCTAGGTGGCTCGACACTGCGGGCACTATGTATTGAGATTTAGATGGTGGTTGGAGGTAGTCAACAGGAAACCCTGGACCCGGGTTTCGTGCTCATCATCATCCAGTGATCAATCAATTATAATTACATCTCAGTCCTACAGGAGGTTAGTCACGGCTCGGATAGCTCAGTGGTAACGTCTCTGACTGTGAAGCTGGGTGACACGAGATCGAATCTGCCAGGGAGCACCAGTTCCCTCAAGATTACAGGTACACCTTGTTGACGAGTGCCAAGTAGCACGAAACCCGGGTCCAGGGTTTCCTGTTGACTACCTCCAACCACCATCTAAACTTCAGATCTTCTCCACAATAAAGTCTGTTCTATGGTAAAAATCATTGTAACCATTATAAAGTAGACAAAATCTATATTTGATAAATAAAGAAGGAATGAATCAAGTGAAGAAATTTTTTTAAAATTCGTTTTTCATCATACCTTTACACTAATAAATATCGCTATGATTTACAATAATGAAAATAATACTCATTTAGTAGATACGTTACGTAATAATTAATAAAATAACATATCGATTATAAATTAGCATTGAGTATAGTTGGAATCATGAGTCACTATGGAAAACTAAGAGAACTACTACAACCATCATCAAGAAGGTACATGTATTTATAAATAGTTGTCTACGCAAGATACTCAACATCCATTGACCGGATACCATCAGTAACAGCCTTCTTTAGGAGAGAACAAACTAGCTTCCAAGTGAAGAGGGAATTAGGAAAAGACGTTGGAAATGGATAGAACATACATTACGCAAGTCATCAAACTGCATCACGAGACAAGCCCTAACATGGAATCCTGAAGGGAAGCGGAAAACGGGAAGGTCAAAGAACACATTAGGTCGGGAAATAGTAGCAGATATGAAAAGGATGAATAACAACTGGAAGGGGCAGGAAAGGATTGTTTGGGACAGTGTTGGATGGAGTCTGCTGGTGATTGGCCTATTCTCCTTCACAAGGAGTAACAGGCGTAAGTAAGTAACAGGGTTTTCAACACCAATTGTATAATATTGTAACAAATTTCTGTTAAACAGATATTTAAAGTCTAACAATTTAAAAGCTCATTTTGATAAATGATTTCTTCTAGTCCGTATCTGATGGCTATCTTCAATCACAAAAGTTTCCTATCAATTTAACTGTTAAAACTATTTTCTCATCCATTAGAATAAATGATATCCGAAATTCAGTATATTCCTTTTTTGTTTTTCTTTTATTCTCAAAAAATAGATGTGGAGGAAAATTGGTCAATACTTGTAGTGTTTTTGCTTGTATTTTCCAGTATTCAGTATCAAAGTCATTTGTATTCTTTTTAAAATAACTCATAAAAAGTTCATAATTATTCAGTTTAGAAAACCTGGAAGCACTGGACGGCCAACTCGTCCTGTCGTGAGACTCTTCAGAAGTGAGCTTCCATGACCCAACTCGCGGGAATCAAAATCATGGCGTTCGGCTTCGCGCACGAATGCTTAACCTCTAGACCACTGAGCCAGTCAATGTTTAACCTCGACCAATCCACAAAATTGCGCGACCATCTTCCATTTTACGGAGGTAGATACCTGTCTCTACCCGACATTGATTAACTCCACTGGTCACGGCTTCTCACTAGAACTCCGAGAATTCCCTCACGAAACTAATCACTAGTGAGCACATGGTAGTAATCAGTACAGGGTTGTAAGGGCCCTGGGTTCTAATCCCGTGAGCAGGATCGTGGATGCGCACTGCTGAGAAGTCCTATATCGATCGGTTCATGATCTTAATCAAAAACCTAATAATCTCCACAACCCTATATTGATAAGAAAGTTATTTGATGTTGACTGGAGTCATAAATAGACAGGTTATTGATAATATAGCCTGAAAAAGCAACTAGAAATTTCATTAACTTAAAATATGCTTACAGTGATGCATATAGATTCCATTCAAAACAGCAAATACACTGTACCATATTTACTATAAACATAAATTAGGAAAAATATATAATGACTGTTTATCAGAAGAACGATTACTGATACAACTTCATCAAAAAATACTTATTGAACTCATTAGCAACCAAGAAGTCGGAAATGGAAACCAAAATCTTGATTGTCGTACTGTAGTGAACAGAACACGGGTGGATACAATCGAATGTATTTAACACAAAATTACAGGACTTGTTAATAAAATCTAACAATCATAAAGTAAATGGTTAATTTGCGAAATGTCCGCCAATTGTCTCAAAATGACTCAGACTTGATTGTTCTTGCATTTTCATACAAATTGCATTCTGTTTCCATTCTTTACTGTTCGATCCTCTTGTCTCTCTGCTGCCAGACTTTCTGTTCACGGCTAACATCATATACTACTTATGTCAATATAAATAGCACACACCACAGTATCATATATAATCACTATATCGGAAACCAAATTCATGTAATTGAAATCATTAGGAATAGTTATGGCGCACACGATAGTAAGGTCACTTCAGTCGATTTTATGCAAAACGACAGACTTAATCATTAAAAGAAAATTTGAATGTTATCCACTAAATAAACTGCTTCAACAAAGAAAGATATAACTTTGAACAAAGTAGCCGCATCTTCGTTTGTATGAACATCATTTAGTTGTCTAAATCCATGAAAGATCTTAGCTCATGTCATTTCATACAGACAATTGTGGACACATATCTGACAGATAAAACATCGAAATTTTACTAGCGATATAATGAAGATCAGAGAATTTCCATAA